CTGCCTTTGCAGCTCTGTGAAGCACTCTGCGAAAAGCATCTAGACCTCTTGCTCATGGAGGTCTCGCCGCCCACAGTGATGGTGGTGGTTTTGGTAAGGGCTGGCATCCCTGTGGCAGTGGCAGCTAGAGCTGTGCCCAGCCTGCCCTGTGCTGCCTATCAGCCCTGGGCTCCCGGAATCAGCAGGAGCCAGCGGCGCGGGAGTGCTCCAGTTCGGGTGTCTGCCTTTCTTGCTCCCCTGCCTGGGGCTTGGGCGAGAGCAGGCAGGTATTGGGCTGGTCCCTAAGCAGAGAGGATGGCAGGATCTGGAAGATACTCAAGCTTCCTTTCACCTTTCTTCCCTGTCAGCATCATGAGCCACGTAGGGCCACAGGCAGAAGACTGAGCTTGCCTTGTACAGCTATGAAATCTTGAGCTAGTCCTTGCTGGAAATAGGAGCTGAAATAGGAGCTTAGGGAAGTATTCACCTCTACCCTACAACACAATTTGTCGTACTTTTCGACTAAAATTAAACAGAAGTAATTTAAGAAAAACTTATAAAATGAATGATAACTCCCCTTTTCTTGTCTGTCTTTCTGAGACCTTTGTTACTGCTGGACAGAACCCAATCAGATGGTAAATCTGAAAGCAATGACGGAGTGGAAAATATATCAAGAGCTCTAAAGCCGTTACAACATTTTAATTGCATGCTAAACTGGTTTTTCCACAAAGCAGTAGCCTTCCAGAGAAAGAGACGGGGACCAGGGACTGATAATAATTGCTGACGCCCAGGCTGCAGATTGTGTGGTCAGTCTCTTCCAGTCAGCTTTAGCTAATAGTATTTCTAAACCACTACCTTACTTATCTCACGATATTTTATAGCTAAAATTATTATTTCATTTGACCTTTTGTTGACCACTGTCATTTACCCTGCATTCTGGCACAGGGAAGGCCTATTACTGGTATTGTGCTCCTACCAGCAAGGAAATGCCTTGCCCTCTGAAGACTGACAAATAGTTGACTTGAGTTATGCTCTTCATCACAATCATCCATCACCATCATCCAATAATAAAATCTTTTCATTGCTAAGGGTAGTCTGACATGAAAAACTGAGGTGTGGAGTGAAGACCTAAGGGTAGTGTGGAAGCTGTGTTTAAACTCTAAGGCTCCTGGTCTGGATAAGATGCACTGTCAGGATGGGGAGATGCTCCTGCAACTTCACTGCATATGTTGTTTGTAAGAAGTTACAGTGGGCTTTGTTTTTAAAGAAGAGTTCAGACTAAGCACACAATGGTTATCATGTGCTGTTCCCTGATGGCTATTGTAAAAGAAATCTATTTTTTCCCTAGTTGCTTCTGGGCTGTTGGGTATTTTACAGGGAGAAGGTTGAATTTAAGAATGACTTCAGCTAATAACAAAAGGAACAGAAGTGACATGGCACAGCACCACATAGACAGGTCCCTATTCCTTCCTCATGGGTCATTAGCAGCCTTGGCAGAGGTAAACCCGGTTGTTGTCTGTGCTGCTGGAGCTGCAGTGCTGGAGGGAGTGTGTGAAAGGAACAGGTTAGGCAGGAGTAAAATGTGATTTAGTGACTTTCAGACCTCGCTGTTGAGAGCAGAGGGTAGAAAGGCTTCGGGCTGGGTTCCTGTTTGCAAGGGATGTTTTCTCTGACAGCAATTTTTCCAGTCTCCAGCCACACATGTGTCTTTCCACTCTCTGTCTTCCGTTTCCAGATGCACTCTGCCATCTCCCACATTCTCCTTTCCATACCCTGATGAGGGTTTCTATTCCCTGCAGCCCAGGTGTCCCTGGCAGTGTTTTCTGATAGCTCACTGCCGGAGCTATTTGGGTACAGAGCAGGTCACACAGCTGTCTCAAGCCTCTAATGGAACATGCTCAAGCGCTTCAAGATGTTCTTATGTTCCTCGTTTAGCTGACATGGAAGAAGGGTGAGGGTTTGGACTGTGCAGGTAGATACCTTCATGTTAATCACAAAGTATGGAAAAACTGAGTTATGCAAAAGATTTAATGTATAACCAGTTCTGAGTAGGTTTTCTTATGAAGAGCAAAAAGCATGCACCAGGTGAAGCTCTTCCCCTTACTGCCAAGCATCGTGTCTATGTTCAAGAGTGAGAAAAGACTTGGAGCATCTAAAACAAGTGTTGCAGTTCATTCCTTTGCTGTAGTTAAAACCGAACTTCTTTTTCCTTGACTTCCCTCTCACAAATTTTTACAGTCTTCATTGAAATTGTTTCATGCATCCCTCTTTCCTCAGACAAAACATTCATTCTGAGAGGCATCTCACCTAGGAAATGTTGGCTTCCTAACAGGGGTGTCAGTGTTAACTTCCCAATATTGCGATTGACTTGTGTGCAGAATGCATTTGTGATTCCCATCATGCAACCTTTCCAGGTTTTACTCTCATAAGAAACCCTTTTGTAGTGCTTATAATTTTAGTTTTCTAGAACTTGGCCAGAGAGCTGTATGTGGAGCTGGCAACCATGCTGTCCTTGGAAGTACAAGACAAGAATCAAGAAGGAGATAGCTGCTGAATTTGAACAAAGACCAATTTGCTCATCACCTGTAGGTTACAAATTTGAGAAAGTGCTGTAATCGAGTAGTTTCTATTTGAAAAGGCATAAATCTGTGCATAGGATAGCTCTATAGGTCTCTGCTGATTACTTCAATTGCCTGGTTGAAAATATTGCTGTGATTTAACTTCTAGGAATGTCCTGTCCATTTATCTGTCATGATAGCAATGGAGAATGGAGGGAGCAACTTTCAGTCATTTATCCATGTTTATTAGGACACTATGCTAGCACTAATTTTCTCAATGAGGCATGAGGAGAAGGCTGAGGGCATTCCTATGTAGCATTTTCAGACATACGCATTGCTGTCTGAACGTCAGAGCAGCAATCGCTCTTTATTCCTCCTGCTGTAACACATGGCTGCTGCCACACGCACACAAGCAAAAAGTGTGGACGTGTCCACGGGTGAGGAATTTGCAATTTGCCCCACTCTGGAAGAGGAACGTGCTTACAACATGACACGTTTTGTTACTGCCACTAGAACTGGAGACATTTCCTATTTGTACATGACATATTAACACATGCTTAAGTTGCTTAGCTACCAGTACAGACATCTCTAAGATTTTGGTTGATTTCAAGTATGTTTCTTCAGGAGGTTTAGTTTGATTTGTAAATATGGGAAATGATGATTTATTTTTTGTGTATTTTCTCAAGTATTTAAAAATTGGCAAAGTGTATTTTGATTCAGACATCCCTGCGTTCCTGTCTTGCTTTTTTCTTGCACATTTTTGTCTCAGTCTAACAAAGAAATATTTAATGCAGTGTGTTTCGCTGATGATTTATTGGATTTGAAATGTAGAAGGAAAATATGAAAAGCATGCCAGGATTGAAACGTGTTTCAGGAGTGGCAAAAAATGCTTGCGAAGATGTTTTTTTGTTGCCTTTGCTTTCTGCCTGAAGACATCACAAGGAATTCCAAGTGAAAGCGCAGCCTCCGCAATTTGCCTAAAACATGTTGGAGTTTTGTTTTACAAAGAAGAAACGATTCCAAACTTTTCATTTCTCTTCCTATTTCAGTACAGCTTGACGCAATAATCAACTTCAAAGAAGAAATCAATCACTCAATAAATGTTCCAACATACAAGTATAGCTTATGAATTTTATATTTATATAAACGTGTTGTGCATATATGCATTTTATCTTAGATCTATATAGACATAGTCCAGTGCTTGTTTTACTTAATAGTTTTAAATTTAGCATAATGACTGTGTTTGATTACAAATCAATAATTAGAATGTTGTAATTATCAGCAAGACAGAATCTTTTTCCAGTTTTTAAAAAAAATAATCTTTGCAGTACAACATTAAAATTAATGGAAACTGAAGAATCACCATTAATACTTGTGATTTAAATAACTGTGCTTTCAAAACAGCCCATGCTGCTTTCAGAGGGCTTTTCCAGTCCATCCTGGGAGGATGAGAGTGATTCGGTATCCCTGTCGCAACAGCAGAGGTTTGCCTCAGTTGGCAAGGGTTGTGCCTGTCTTGTTTGACAGAAAGCTGGGCGCTGCCTGTAGGTGTATGTTTTTATAGTGTTTCAGGGGCTAAGCCAGCTGGAAGGTGTGGTACAGTTGGGAGGTTTTGTTTCTGTAATGCTTTTAAAGCTGAGCAAGCAGAAAAAAAAAAAAAAAAAAAAAAAAAAAAAAGGCAACGAGTGAAAAGTGTGTACATGTGTACAGCTGGGCAAGGAGTACAATCAACCAGTGGAGATTTCCATCTCCTGAGAATGAACAGCGTAAAAGCCAGAGGGTAAGTCTTCTGCAGGACAGCCAAACGTGTTAGGGTCAAACGTGCCCTCGCCCCAGCTTTGTGCATTTGCAGCACCGCAGGAGTGTGTGAGCCAGGCACATGGTACGGCACCGGCACTGCCGGACACGGGGCTGGGCTGCGTGCGTGAGGGCACACCACCAAAGCACGGGTGAAAATCGTGGGAGGCAGGTTAAGGTTGTTCACCTGCGGGGGAAGCGGGCAGAGGAGTGCAGATTTTCTGCAGTGGAGTTAAGACACGGGCGATGTTATTGAGCGGGGAGGTTGAGGAATGTGAATAAAATGGGTGTTGATTTTATAGCTGGGCTGACCTGGTCGTTGTGTAGGCGTGCCTTGTTGTTAACGATGCCTGATAGCATTATCATGCCACCACCAGCTCCCAGCATACTGCACATTTTCTGGACGTGGGGCAGGGGTGAAAGGCATGTTGGGTTTGCTCATCCTTTCTAATCTCTGGAAGCATTGAGGCCGTGCCCCTCAGGGCTTTATGTGTGATAGAGGCTGTTTCATAAGGTGACTTTAGGGGTGCTCATCTCCTTTCTGCTATAAGGCTGGGACACCCCTACATGCCTCTCCATCCTTGGACTTATACCCCAGAACTTACACAAAGATCAGCAACAAATTTTGTGACACTTGCTTTTTTCTTTTCTCTTTTTTCCCAAAAGCATACTCTTTGCAGACATAGAAGGTTTCACAAGTCTGGCCTCCCAGTGCACTGCTCAGGAGCTGGTCATGACGCTGAATGAACTCTTTGCCAGATTTGATAAGCTAGCAGCAGTAAGTTTTCTATTATAATTCTGATTTTATTTTTTTCTGTTGCAAAAGTGACATACTGTGCTGGTTCACTGGACTTCTGTAAATATTCACTGCCCTAAAAGGCAAGCTATTGCAAACATGAATATCAGCTGAATATTTCTTTCCTTTTTTTTTTTTTTTTTTTTTTTAGATAAACCATTTTTTTTTAGGAGAACCACTGTTTACGTATCAAGATTCTGGGTGATTGCTATTACTGTGTGTCTGGGTTGCCAGAAGCAAGAGCCGACCATGCCCACTGCTGTGTTGAAATGGGAATGGATATGATAGAAGCCATCTCGTAAGTACCATATTCCCCACGGAGAATTTCAGAGTAGGTAGCAAGTAGATTCTGTTTCCCGTTAGGTCTTCCTTGCATAAGTGGCAAGGTAGTCAAACCAGGGAGCTGATGCCAGCAAAAAGGGAGACCAGCTAGTGCAAGAAAAGAAAAATGCAGTGAAGGTTTGACAGCAGACAGACAGACACTTGAGTCCATCACAGCCATGTAGATATCAGAGCTCAATCTCCTGATGAGAAAGGCAGAGGTTACTGTAATTACTGCAAGTCTCACTCCCAAAGGACAATTCCAGGGAATTACAGAAGTGAGAAATCAGAGGATTAACACTAGTTTTATTAAATTTCAGTCACTCTTCACTTATCTGTCTTTAAAACAGCTTTTTACTCACCTTAAAATTCCTCTGCTAAGGTCTGTCTTGCCTAGTTTACCTAATCCTTTTGCATGTGTCCCTGTGCCAGAAAGGTCAGATTCAAGACTTTCTTACTTTAGTGAAATTAGTTATCAAAGAAAACCATGAAGTTGGTCTGGCACAGGCAGGGACAGATCCCTGGTGCATTTTCGTTTATTTCCATTTACTTTTCCATCTTTATTTTTTTCTTTTGAAATCTATTCTGAGGCTTTGTCTGATTCTGAGGTCAGACTCGGAGTCCTGTGTTTGTGCAGACCATTCCTGTCTTTAGAGAGTAACAAATATGGGACCTGTATGTAGTTCTATTACTTGGAGGATGGCAGGCAATGATGAGTATTGCTTGCATTGGACATGAGCTTTCACAGGCCAATTCTTTTAGAATTCAGGGATGAAGATTTACTATTGCTTTGCACCAGTCTCCTTTTGGGGTTTGTGTGCAAAACAGAAAATAAAAGGAGTTGCAAGTAACCAGTTTTCAGTAGCCCTCGAAAGGATGCTATTTCTTCCACGTGAAGTACAATTAAGTGGCGGGTGACAAAATATCGTGTCAAGAAGCAGCAATTCTTAGCCACCAGCCCTACAAAGAAGACACTGTGTACATCTCCCAGAAAACTCTTGCTTTTTGCAGTAGTTGTCCTGATGAAATCCAGAGACCTTGATACATTGCTGTGTAATCCCCCACAAGGTTGAGTAACGCCAGAATGTCTAGACCTCATTGATTAAGCGCAACCCACCTTACCTTGAAATAAACATGTAGCTGAAGTGCACTCAGTGTTTGTTTACAAATAGCTCTTCAGCAGCCTTTAAAACTTGTTTTCCACTTGATGTATGATGAATACACTTAACAATCTTATCTCTTAATAAGTCTGGAAGGTGACTCTCTTCTCACTACTCCTGCTTCCCCCCCAGTCTCCCTCTCCCCTAAGGATCAAGATAAGAGGTTTCATAATTAAGGTAACCAATTGCTACTGAGCATTTGATTGCAAGTAACAAATAGCTACTGAACTTTTGATTGCAGGCTTCACCAACACTGGGCCCTGCCTGTAGGCTGATTTCATCTGTGCACAATAACAGCAGGGAGCGTTACTCCCCATCAGAAAGATGGAATTATATTCACTAGTATAAATGAACTTGGGGAAAAAAAAGAAAGAAAAAAAAAAGGAAGGAACCAAATATTTCATTCATCTCTAAAGGGTAACCAAACTCACCTGTTTGCTGCAAAGTCTGGAGAAAGTCACCTTCACATCAACAACTCTGCTGGGAGAAGTTCCTTGGTCTTGTGTCAGTAACGTGGCTTGGCAGAGGGTAGAGTAGGGTTTGTAGTTACTTGCACAGCATGTTCTTTCTCCCTCCCCTGTGCTGTACCCACACCGCAGCTGCTGTTGTCCTTGCAAGTGTTATGGCTGCAGCTGCGTTTTCATTACCCCAGGTCCTGTTGCTTTCTCAAGTGCTGTGCTTGGAGCTCTTTCAGTTCATAAGCCTATGGCACCTTCCCCATAGGCACCTTCCCCTCCCTACCAGAGAACTTCTGCCTTCTGTTGGTAAAAATAACTTCAGTGAGTAGAGAGTGAAACCTAAGGTAGGGATTGTAAGGAAGAAGGTACTGTAAGATGGTAGGTACTGTTTCAACAAAACGTCATCTTGAATAGTCTTTTAAGGGGCATATTACATGGTGAACAGTGAACTAGAGTCCAGAATTGGTCTATCTTTAATCATTCATTTTCTCTAATTACTAAAGCATAAGTATTAGGTCTGTGTTGATGTTAGGAAGTTGAGGGAACTTACCTGTCCAGAGGATATTATCTAGAAAGGACTAGATGAACCTGGAAACCAAAGAGGATGAAACCTGATAGGTATGAAGTACAACTTCATGTTGCAAGGAATTAACAACTCAAAGGAAAGGACTGTGCTGTAAGATATAGGTGAATTTGCCTATGGAACATGGACATTCTGGGAATGATGCGACTGGTAATAATGAGAAGCAGACTTGTTCTGATGGCCTCATCAAGACTTTCCCCTACCCACATCCCTAAATATATTTTCCATGTAAACAGTTCTCCAAGTTAATTATTGCCCTAAAAGGGCAAAACCTACAAAGTATTCCACCAGTAATTTTGGGAGTGAGCAAGGCATCCAAAAGCTCATTAAAATCAGAGCTTGAATATTTGTAGCTGCCTGTTTGGAGTGACAGCACTCGATGTGATTCTCTGGTTTTGCTACTCTCGCTGCAGCTATAAGCCCTGTTCAAGCTTTCCAACTTCAGTGGAGTCTTTCACACACATATCCTATTTTGTTGGTGGAAGAGTTGATGCTTGGTGCCATACAGAAAAATTAAGATCTCTGCAATAGTTTCCTTTTTTGTCCTTGTGGCATGCTATTACTCTTAATGAGGCTGAGTGCTGACAGGGTTTGTCCAGATTGGTATGGAAATCAGAGACCAATACTTTATCCTGAGCTTTATTTTTTTATGAGATCTTAACTTGACCATAAGTCATGAACATGGATTTACCCCAAGGGCTCCCCTTTCTAATTAGTCTTCTGCTTGGCCAACCAGGCCGTTCAAGAGCAGTACAGTGAGTCTGGTTTGGTTTTGTCATCCTGTGGCTGAGCAGCACCCTGTGAACACATGATACTTTATGGGTCATTATGGATTTTGTGTGCTGGGTGCAAATTTATGCTACCAACTGCAACTTAATAATGTTCTTTTTTTCCCATATCTCTTTTCAGGCTAGTCCGGGAGGTGACAGGAGTAAATGTCAACATGAGAGTTGGAATCCACAGCGGGAGAGTGCACTGCGGGGTCTTGGGCCTTAGGAAGTGGCAGTTTGATGTGTGGTCCAACGACGTTACGTTAGCCAACCACATGGAAGCAGGGGGCAAAGCTGGGTAAGTTGCTTCATCAAAGCTGTTGTGTTAATGTGTGTCTTGTTTTGTGTCTGACATGTCACAACAAGGCGGGGAAATGGGGGACAGAGGTTCAGAGAGTCTGTATGGCTGCAGTAACTGCGGGTGTAGTGTTTTAAGCATGTACCAATGTTAACAAGGTTATTCTGTTCCACATCTACGTGTCTTTGGTTATAGAAAGTCTACAAAATTCCAAGATGGGCATAACCTTCTGTGGTAAGAACTGAATTCTTTCTCTGTAAAACAAAGCTGATACATACAACAGAAGTGAGCAGGTCTGTGCAAGCCCTAGCAGAGCTGGTCACGGTTACAAAGAAATGTGACTGTATGTTAACAGTATTTTCTGGAGAACACCTCTGCTATCAGTGAATATTGTATAAAGCATTGTTTCAGATCAGCCTTTTGTTTTGAAACATTCCTATAAGAGAGCAGAATCTGTTCTTGTTTCACAACTGTAAAGACCAACTGAAGGCAGTTGCTGCCAAATTGATTCTATGAGATAATTTTTCCACATGCCCTTCCATTTTTTGTCTGCTCTGGAAGAAAGTGTAAGACTATAGTTCTTGATAGGATACCTCTACAGGGCATTACTGCACCACAGTGATTAATGTTATACAACAAGAAAATAAATGCTGCAGTATGTATTACAGTGTTTGCTGAGTAGACTTGTCCTTGTGAAGGGCCTGTGTTTGCCAGAAAAATATATCTGCTGTGTGTTAAAGTGAATAGAAGGATGAGTGCTTTATATCTAAGAAGATGCTTATAAGTGGATGTGTAAGATGCTTAACATGAAAACCTCTCTCTTTAAGAAGATGCCTCCTCGCCTGCTTCCTTTAAAATAGATGAAACTCACATACTACATGTGTAAGAGTGGTGGCATGGGTAAATAATTTGGAGTTTATTGCTGATTAGAGCCAGTATATGGAACCTGGCACTGACAGGAACTGGTTTTTAGGGGATAACTTTTCAGAGCCTGCAAAACTGACTTGTCTTTTGTCTCATTCAAGGCGCATCCACATAACCAAAGCAACCCTGAACTATCTCAATGGAGACTATGAGGTGGAGCTGGGCTTTGGAGGGGAACGCAACGCTTATCTGAAAGAGCACAGCATTGAGACCTTCTTGATTGTACGGTGCAGCCAGAAACGGGTAAGCTAATGCAGGTTTAGATATTTTTCCCAATGCACCAAAGTAGAGTGAACACCAGTCTTTATAGATGAGTGGGTTGACCACCAGACCTTCAGTGACAAGAATTCCTCTTTCTCTCTTCTTCCTGAACTTGTGTGTGTGTCTAGAAAGGAGTGTAGCCACCTTCTGCCTAAAGTTTCTGCATCGAGTACTTTCTAGTTCTAGCAAAGAAACTGTGTCCTGAGTTGTTCTCAGAATAATTTTAAAGAATGCTGTTAATACAGATATGTATTTTTCAGTTAAATTTTATAATTGTACAAGTTCTTAAAGCAATACATTAAACCCACAAAGATCTCTTCTCTGTCACATTGCAGACAGAGGTGGTTTTGTCCTCCTGCTCACTGCATTGCTGTGAACTTAAAAATTAGGGCAATTCTTATTACATTTCAGCATCTGTTTCTGAAGATGGGAAAATCTGACCCACTGTAATGATGGATGATCGCTGTGACAGTGAGATGAAATCATTCCTACTGCTATGACATGGGTCAGGCTGCACAAAATAAGGCTATTAGGGCATTACTGACTTGAATTTGAGTCAAGTCGAACTCAGACTTCAGCCAATATACTTTCTCTTGTGATGCTGCCAGTAACAGAAACTAGATTAATGTTATCATTAGTTTGTATTCTTTTAAATAATAGTAGACCGTAATACTATAGAAGTACCTTTTTGACCATCTAGTTTTGCCTAGCCAATAACATTTCTTTAAGTAATTTCTGCACTACAGACACTACTTTCCTATTCACTGTATGGGCAAGTTTATAAAGATTGGCCTGAATTGGAAACCATTTTAAATATTTCTGAATCTAAAACCAATTAAACCTTCCCACAGCTGCAGATATGACTACCATGAGATTAAATGAATTAGTGTTTGTGACATGTTCCAATAGCATGGTTGATTTGAATAATGGTAACACCTATGCAGAAACACTTTGCTGCCATTGCCTCATTTCCCGAGGGAATAGAAGCGTCAAATCTCCTTAATGGATATTGTGTAAAAAATCTCCAAGAAAATCCCTTATCATCTGCTAAAGAGAGGAGCTGATGTTTTGGTTTCTATCTGCTCATAAAATAAATCTTGTTAACAATTGTCAATCTTCAAAAGAGGATTAGAGCTTGCAGTGCAAGATTATTGTTTCCTGAGTATCACTGCCTGTCAGTGGGCCAGCTGATGTTTATACCTAAAACACTTCTTCTTTGCTGAGTAGATTTAAAACCATAAACCAAAATACCCTTATGGTCAAGCTCCATCTCCTGGGGTGGAGAAGCTGTTTTAACTTCTTACATCATGCACTCGCCAAGTTGTCTCCATGTTCTTGTGGAGAACTGAAGGTTTCTCTGGGAAGAAGAGGAAGACCTAAGATCAGGGTTCTGCTTCTTGCTGGTGTAGACAAAAAACCTCAAAATCAGACACACAGAGCACTTGGGACTTGACTTCATTTTAGAACACAGGGGAGACTAGGAGTCGAGGATGCATTTTGACTAGGAGACTGGTCAGAGAATCAGGAGAGATGTGGATTCCATTCAAGACTTAGGTTTTGAGGAACTTGCATCTTTGTGCCTTGATTTTCCATGGTAAAATAAAATGAGTTCCCTGCCTCGTTCTTTAACTTCTTTATGTGTATTTATTGCAGCTCTGTTACACAGCGTAGCCCTTATCTGAAGTCTCTAGGCACTACTATGAAGCTGCTCTAACATGCTGCATCCCAGAGTCACTAAGAATTGGGACATGCACATAGTCTATGTAATTACTGTGCTGAACTGAAACATAAAGAAACTACAACCCAAGGTCACGGATATCAGTGTTTGGAGTTTGTAGGGCTCATGGTTTGCCCATACTGCTACAACTTTCTTGCTCCCTTAGCCATTTTCTATCCCTTTGTGAATAGTTTAAAGTTCTCTCCCTCTTTAAAAACTCATTTTCACATAATATGAAGATCAGAAGTGAGAAAAGCTTTTTTCCATAGTTGTCTTGGTCAGTCTTGAATATTTTGCCTGATGCTTGGCAAAATTCTAGCACTTTACTTTTTCCTTCCGTTTCTGATTGATTTTAATGACTTCTCATGATGTATTTAGCCAGGTTTTCAGTTCAATCTGTTCCAGTAATGGCCATAAAATGTTGAGCTAACTTAGTAATGGGTTCCTGTGAGTCGTGTCTGGGTTCCTGCTGTCCTCACACACAAGGCACAGGATTTGCATTGACCTGAGAGCAGAAGTGTACTTGACCCAAGTAACTGCCTGAGCTATTCCTCAGTTCACACAGGCAGACTGGAATTGTCTGAATACCTGGTCCATCAGTCCCACAGCCATCGAAACCCAACAATACCAGGAGTTATGATGAGTGTATAAAATGAAATGGCATCTGTTCTGTAGCCTTTCTGCTTACTGCTGCTGTGGGGAGCCATAACTTTGAATTTCCTGTCTTTTTTTGTTTGTTTGACTTCTTCATCATGTTAATGCCATTTCTTTGGCACAGGGTAAATGGGAGGAACTTATACTTAATACTTTTGTTCCAGGAAGTCTGACTAGCTCCTTCTTTAAAAATAGGGGCTTTTTCCTTCTTAAGGATGCTGTTAAATGGAATATATTTAGTTGAGTTTTAGGGGGGAATAAGCTAGATTCTGATCATTCAGTCTTTAAATAGCAACCCCAGAGCTGGAAATGTTTTCTATCTGATACACAGAAGATTTGCTTTTTATTGAGAGAGAATAAACTGCAAAGTTTTAAAATCCAGTCTAAGTTTCTCTCTCCTCATCTTTACCTTCAGATCAACTTTCTTCTTTCTGTTTGCCCTGTCATGGGATGATGCTGCTCTGGTGGGTGAGCACTTGCCTGGGAAGAAGGCAGTGCTCAGATACCCTAGAGCAGTGCAGGAGGGACTTTATTATTGCAGTGTTACATTCCCCTCAATAAAAGGTTTCATGAGCTTTTTGAAAGCATAGATCCAAAGTTCCAAATTTGTTTTCCCTCTGCTTGCTTTTGATTCCTTAAGCTAAGGTTTTGATAATTAAAATGTAGAACTGTCTTAACTGTGTGAGATACAAAGGGTGCCATGTATTTCATTGCAATGTGAAGCTGTATAGATATACACGCACACGTATATATACATATGTGTATATATATATATAAAGATAATTCCTGTCATAAAATTAACAGGTTCCACGATAAGGGTCTGTTGAATCTTTTGTTATGGTTTGTTTGCTCCCGTTAGTGCTAGCATTGGGCTGCTCTAAAACTCAGTTGCTCTGGTGCCTGTTTGCTCTGGTTGTCCAGTGTCTGCTGTCAGACAGCAATTGTATCCCCTCTCTCCTTCCTAGCCTTTTTTCTCCTAAAACAAATTCTTCTAATGTCTTCTTGTAATAAAGAAGAGACAATCACAAGCTCTCACAGCAAGCTTTTCATTTTCATGTTTATTAAAGGCAACCTTTAACTTTTGCATAGTTGCATTATCTTGGTGTCTGATATTTATTTTGTGATGAACTAATGTGATTCCTGATAGTGAAATTAAGTCTCTGACTGTAATCTCTAAGTGAACGATCATTCATTTTGTACACTTGAATGTCTCAAGTCCCAATTCTACTATGTTAGTCCTCAAATGTCAGGTGCTAGTACTCCTTTTTTTTCTTATCTGTCAAATACTGTATCTGCTTCTGTCATTGGCTAAGTCTGTCATTGCTACCCTTGGTACCAGATACGATAAGAAAAAGATGAAACATAATCTGCCCCAAGACTAAGCTCTGAGTAGCTCTAGTAGTAACTTTCATCCAGCCCAATACTATCTCATTCAAATCCATCTCTCGCCATTTCACTGGAAACCAGCTCTATTCCCAGCGTCATATTCCCTGTCTGTCTTAGCCATTACTCTCCAACACAGAATTCTTCTATGGAAGAAACAAGGCCAGTGAGAGCTACTGTATTTTTTCTGTTTAGAAAATCTTGGATGCTCTCAAGACTGTTAATCCAAGCCCAGCATTCGCTGCTCTACAAGTTCAGTGTCGTGATCCCTGACTAAGTAGTTATTAGAAGTATCTGTCACCAGAATCAAAATTGCAGTTGGCAGCTTTACACAAGTCTGGGATGGAGATTGTCCTTCTGACTTGGGCACATCCCACTTAAGTGTTGCTTCCAGCTTAGTCATGTTGTCTGTTTATAACCCTACACTTACAATCCCTCTCCCCTTATGCTTCTGCTGTGGCAATAGTGATTATCTTAAGAGAAATCTGTTCCTTCAGCTGTACAGTAATGTCGATTTTTAATTTTCTGTTATCCTTGCATGATATAGGGTGGCTTACACAGACTGACCTCTGCCCTTATTCAATCTTTTTCTTATTCATTTGGATATATATCTCTAATGGACTTAACACCTGAGCATGAAAGGCATATAGGAATTCTCCAAGATCTTTGCCTTTCCTCCATGACTGCCTTTGCATCTTCATTCTTTATCTGAAAGTCACTATTCCCGGATAAACAGTGACATCATCTAGAATTACTATTACCCAGATCTTTACTGATTCCCAGACTTAACACTGAAGCATTTTAGTGAACTACCCAGCATTACTCAGTACAATGTCTTTATCCTTCTACAGAGTATATTTGTTTTAGTCTTGTTATACTTTTTTAAATTTACCCTCTAGGCTGTAGCATCCCTAACACACAACTCTGTGCCTCTACCTCCACAACTTTTATTCTGTCCTTCTGCATTTTATTCAGAACGTGCTATTCTATCACTTCCGTGCTATTCTTCCTGTACACAGTTTAATTATTGGTGTAGTTTCCAGTAGTCCTTGTTCTTGTGCAGCCCAAGTTTCAGAGTTTGTAGAGGAGCAGGTCACTTGGTGTTGTTGGCAACTTTCACCTCTTCTTTGAGATCAGGTGCTGCACTAATTTGCAGCAGAACTACTCATCACTTCTAAATTTGATAAAAGCTTTACTCTGATAGGGGTGGAAAGGTATGTGTTTGGAGGAGTGGGAAACAGACCTTAAGGTGAATAGGATTTTAACAACCCATTAGGTTTGCAGCTAGTTTTATTGTCCTCAGCATTGTCAGAATTCTTGGGAACTGCTTATTTTTGAACACAAGTGGAAACAAAATGCGACTGTCAACAGATAGCAATGCTGCTGACTAAACACGCTGTGCAGAGTGCACAAAGTTGGCAAGCTGAAAAAATGTTTATTTTTTTCTAATGTCTTTCAGTTGCAGTAAACATGGGTGTTTCTTTTAACAATAGCAGGTACACAACAGTTTCAGAAAGGATTGTTGATGGTGGCCTTAAAACAGCTCAACAAAGCCTTGGCTGCAACCCCTAGAAAAACAATTCTCATTCTTTTCTAAATAGCGTCCTGAAACTCCATCCAGCTGAAGAAACAAAATGGTCCTTTAAACGTTGTGCATGTGACTCTCTTAAAACACAATCAATCTAATGTGATGATTTCTCCATTTAACAGATTTAATCACAGCTCGGCAGGGTTCCACTCGTGTAAATTTATGAAGACAATGGTTTGGAGCATGTAGCATTGCAAGAAATATCATTTACATGTCAATAGGACTTCATGACAATTTAAAGAATAATATGTAGCCGAATCTGAAATGGCTGATCCATGCTCAGATTTCATTGCTTTGTTGCACTGATAGTGATCAATATGCTGGAACACTAAAGAATTAACAGGCATTCTTGATGCAATTGATAAGTATAAGAAACTCTCAGCTATTTCTGTAGTTTTACTATACCATTACTGTAGCTCACTGTGTGGGAACTGGTGGTGGGAACATAATAAAACCTCTGGGAATAAGATTTACAGTCTCTTTGCGAGTCCAGATTTGAAAAGTTCCCACAACAGCTTTCTGGAGTTTAGCCGCTTTAAATCTGCAAAACTCATTGCTATCAGAAACTTTTCCACCTGCTGCTGTTGTTGGTAGTACCTGTAATGAGTAGGATTGAAAGGCATATCACGTCTCCCTTTTCTTCTTTCCAATCCTGTTATGCCTTCTGTAGCCTGTGTGTAAGTTGTCCTCATGCTGTCAGTTAGCCACGAAGAAACAGAGGAGGGATACTCATAAATTTCCACAACAGAACTGTGATCCTTCTAAGTTTTCATTTTGCGAGTCTTATCATCACAAGTGAACAAGTGACTCTTCAGAAAATAAATTGGCTTAACTTTTTAAAATATCATGTTTTTTAAAAGTATTTTTAATAAGTATTGATGCTAACAACAATCCTATTGCCCAGGATAATATAGTAGCACAGTAACGTTGGAAACAAAAAATCCACTATGCTTGTTCAAAATATTGCTGAAACATAGTTCACAATCCAGTGGAAACCTTCCACAGCGGGTGGGGAGAAATACTGCCAGAGTTCATGTAGCCATGGAAAATTTACAGTGCCTGACCTCACGGATAGGCACCAGCGATCTCAGAAGTATATGTTTACCCCTTTGTCCCACCCGTAACTCAACCCAGATGTGTCAATAAACATGTATGAGATCTTCTATTCCCTTCACATTGGTCAGGTGATGCTCTAGTCACCAGCACTAGCAGCAGGTAGAAGGGTTACTCAGACTGAGAGGGCTTAGTATATCTGCTTGAATTTTTAGCATTAAAGCTTTTCTTAAATTCTAACCAAATATAGTAGCCCATAGAGGGAAGCCTGCCGTATGTATCTTTTATCATCTGTTGATCTAAAGGCGTTTGTAATAGATTTGCTTTTATAGGTCTCCAGACTAGTTTTAGTAACTGGGTTTTTCGATCACTTTTGGTTTTAAACCCTTCACTAACTTGTAGTAAAATGGATTGACAGTGACACTTCTATTACTGAATACAATATTTACTTGGAGATGATGAAACTCTACTTTCCTACCAGTTTTCTGGCATCACATCATAGAAGAAAGAAGCATAACTATGAAAAAGATTGCATAACTGAAAAAAAAACCGTAAGAGCCGTGGCTTTTAAAAAACAAAACTTCAACTCAAATCTGGACATCAGTGTTGCATCACATTAGTGTATTTTTAGAAACATTTAAAACGTGGCTCTCCTGGAGGTTATCCAGTGGCTCTGTCATGATTGCTCATGTGAAATTCAGCTGATGCCAAGAGATGGATGAAACAGGGGTGGGTTTGATGAGGGGATGCAGGGGGCTCTTGCTGTCCTGGGGGTGTGCGGTGTGGGAGCCTGTATGGTTCTCCCCAGCAAACACCCCAGGGGAGCTGACAGCTGCCTTAAGCTTGCTGCCTCTGAGTTTCCTTGAGATCCTACACTTGTCATCTCGGCTGGGTGGAAAAGCATCTTTGGTGGCAGCCTGGGGCTGCAGTGACCACTGCTCCTTGCTGTCACGGGGCCAGCTGGGTGGCCGGCACAGGGTCCTGTCGCAAGGGGCACCATGTTCCCAGCCCTACAGCAGCACTACGTTCCCGAGAACTCTTGGAGCCTGCGTGGGGAGCTGGTGGTCTCATGGGAAATGTTGTCATCGTAGCTGTCTCTTCTTTGCAAGAAAAGAGGTGACGAGTTCCCATGCTTGTCAATCAGACAGGTTTCCCCAGCACTGAATCTTAGCAGACTTTTTTTAAAAAAATAATAATTTCTTTTAAAAGAAAGATAATTTAAAGCACTGTAATACTTGACATTTAACTCTCTGGTTACCATGGAAATAACACCAGGTATTTTGCAAACTCCTGACAGGTACAAGTTACAGTGAGTAGTGGAGAATCAAAATAAATAGGTTGGGAAAGCAGACTCCAGGCAATAAAAGATGTGGACCTACCTGTACTGTCATACAACACTTGAACCAAAATTCTAGAGTTTAAAGCAACTGATGCTTTCTTTTTAAGTTATTCACTTGTCTGAACACTTTCTGAAATCCAAAATTAACTATTATTTCTAATATTTTCAGTAATCTCGTGAAAGCAGCAGTTTAATCTCTCAAGTAATAAGCAATCAAGTTGTAGCTATCCTTACCGTCCAAATTTTCAAGCTCTCCAGAGTTTGTCACTTCTAAGCAAGGATGTAATAATTGCCCCCTCTTCTGAGTCAGTACAGGTGAACTGCACAGTCCTCACTGAGCAGGTCTTCAGTGCAGTCCTTTTAGAGAAGATTGACGGGCTTGACCTTGTGCAATAAATTCCCATCTTTCTGCAGAACACATTCCACATGGAAACCTGCGTGTCTTTTTAGTTAGAGAATATATTCAAAATAATGAACTAAGTAGTCTCTTTAGCCTGGTTATATGCTGCACTTCTGTACTCTCGTAACTGCTATTAAGCTTCCGTGAAACCTTTCTGACAGACCCTATGCAAACCTCACAGTAAGCTCAAGTTACAACCAAGATTCAAAATCAGCTCTAATAACAAAATTGAAGAATTCCAAACTTCAGGAAAGTTAGTGTTGATGATAAAATTTGCAATTTGCGTTAGGGTAGAGGAGACTATTTTGTCACACTGCAATAGCATTATCCTTAACAGATATGCAGTTGTTTGCAAGATTTACATGCTCTCCTGGAAAGATTGTCTTGCAAGTGTGGAAATTTATTTGCATGTACCTACAGAGAAAGGTGTCATTTATTCCTGTACCTTCAGGAAGCTTAAAGGCTCCTCTTCTTCAACCAGATAGCTCTGTATGTCATTTCTCTTGCAGATGCACCAGTCTTTTTTTTGAGGACCCTATATGAAGTACCTGAGCTTGAAATTGCAATTTCCTATCTGAAATTACTCAATTTACTAAAAAAGAAACTAGACACCCTATTTTGGAACCCTCCCTGTATTTACCTATATTATGGTGGTTTTTCAAATCAAGCAAAGACTAAAATAGTGGGCATGACTTAGGGGCAGGTGTTCTAAAGAATAAGAAAAGAAACAGTGGACTGGAGCTGCTCCTCATCAGTGGCCACTTCATAAAGTTCAAGGCACAAAGCCAGCTTCTGGAGTAAGAAATCTGAAGTGAGATGTTTGGTGAATGACTGCCACATAAATGTTTCAAAATTTATTCTGTATTTCTCTCTCGTTTGTATTTCAGAAAGACGAGAAAGCCACAATAGCCAAGATGAACCGTCAGCGGGCTAATTCCATCAGCCATAACCCATCACACTGGGGTGTTGACCGGCCATTTTACAACCACCTTGGAGCTCACCAGGTCTCCAAGGAGATGAAGAGAATGGTAATGCATTGCTTTATGGACTTTAATTTCTTTTCTTCTTAATACCGCATTATATATCCCTCCCTGCTCTATCTGAAGGTTTTTGCAGTCCCGAAGGTGGTTTCCAAATGGGGGTGGTAAATTCTGCTTTGACTCCAGAAAAAATAATCGGTACATCTGGAGGTGAGTGATTGTGAGATGAGGTGCAAGGTTGTTTGAGAGGGGAAGGGAGGCTGAATAGCACAAAGAAGACTCTATTGTCTGACTTGTCCCACGTTCTGAAAACTCATCCAAGCTGTTTGAGAAGACGTGATTATCTACAAAAAAAACCCAGCAGCTGACATAAATTTGTCCTACATCCCTGTGGGCTTCAGCACCTGCAAAGGTTTCCTGCTTGCATTGTAACATAGAATCATAGGACATTTTCGACTGGAAGAGACCTTCAAGATCATTGAGTCCAACCTTTGTCCAACCCTATCAACACCGCTAAACCATGACCCTCAGCGCTACATCTACGGGTCTCTTACACATCTCCAGGGATGGTGACTCAACCACCTCCCTGGGCAGGCTCTTCCAATGCCTGACAATCCTCTCAGTAAAGAAATTCTTCCTAATATCCAACCTGAACCTCCCTTGGTGCAATTTAAGGCCATTTCCCCTTGTCCTACCACTCACCACTAGGGAGAACAGACCAACCCCCACCTCGCTACACCTTCCCTTCAGGTAGTTGTAGAGTGATAAGGTCTCCCCTCAATCTTCTCCAGGCTAAACAGCCCCAGATCTCTCATATGGCACATGCTCCAAATCCTTTACGAGCTTGGTAGCCCACCTCTGTACAGCCAGGTGCTGTTCACCTTCTATAAGCTACGTGCCCGCGTATGCTCATGGGTCCCCAGGAATCATGCTGCTGTGTTTAACTCTTGAGAATACATTCTCAATTACAAGGATCAATTGGCCTAAGGTAGCAGACGTCTTCATTTCTTGCTTATACCTTTCAGGTCCTTCTAAATTAAAATTGGCAGGAGCTAGTTAACCAACGCAATTGGACTGAGGGTATTTTTATGGCTTATTTTACATAAAGTTGTAGATTATATCTTTATGTCCTGCAATAAAGATGAAGAAAAGGGAGTTTCTATTATAATGCCTTTTTATAATAACAATAAAAATATTTGGCACCTCTGTAACTACAGGCATAATCAGATTGCTCTGTGACCTTATTAATGTTGTTTTGACCCTTCGGGCATAGTCAAAAGTGTTTATTTGTTGCCCACCGTTGCCCATAGTCCAAGTTCTTCTTCAGGTCACCAAAGTCCTAAAGTATTCAAAGAACTTTTCAACACGAGATTCACTCCCACAGCTTAAGAATTTTAGTATAGCTATAAGCAACCACATATGGTGTCTTCTAATGGGAAATGCTGGAGCAGTTATTAATAGTTGGTGCTAATATTACTCAATCATAATATTATTTTACAGCGCTAAACCAAATTTCTTAATCTCCATAGTAATGTTTCTTTCATTTCTCGGATCTCCAAATGAGCCCTTCTGACATAAGCGTACAGATCAGTGGAACTGTGCATTTTTTATGTGGGCTGTTCAATAGGGTGTGCTCAATAGACATGACATTATTAGAAGAGCCTAATCACGCTAGCACATAATTATAAGTTTCTTTGAATAGCTTTTAAGGGGTTCTTGCAGCCTCCTGTTCAGAAACAAGGTGTAAGCATGCCAAATGGTATTATGCTTCTTGGTGTTAATTACAGTTTGCCGTGTCTAGCTGGTTGTTCAGTTGGAAAAACATAATTATTTATTGAAATAGCAAGCTGAGTTGTAAAAACTTCACTGCCCCTCACTTGTAGGAGGAAAAGCCTCTCTTTTTTTTTCCCTTTTTTTTTCTCCTTATCTTGAAACTTTTCCTGTAATGGTATTTACATTGTTATTAATTCAGCAGCTCAGAAAATCTTTTCGACTCAATCTGCTTCTCTACTGACTCTTTTATTAAGCTCTTTTCTGAGAGGCTGATGTAGCATGCGTCAAGCTCTTCCTTGAAAACCACTTTAAACCTGATTCATACGTATTATTTTCAGCTAGACGTTTTGTTGTTCTTGGGGACTGGTTTTTAAAAATTTGTTATTTACAATATTTCCCACTGCTTTATGTTTGAGATGCATTAGTGAAAATGAAAACATGCTGCTCTGCATGGCCTAGAGACCATTTTAATATCTGCTAGATGGACATTTTATTGATTAGATCATAGGAACAATTTCTCCATTTACTGTCTCAATTCTTTTTCTCTGTGTTAACTTCTAATTTAAATATATATTTCTTTGTACCACCCAGCTTTGCACAGTACTTTATTTGTCTGTAATCTCTAGCATTGTGGTACATGGCTGCTGTGTGTGTTTAAAGGCATGCACAGTGCACCCTGGCTGCACGCACATGCGCACTGTCTGCAAATTGCCTGCTTAAAAATACAAAATGCAGACAGACAAAAGGGGAGCAGAACTACAAAGGCTTGTTTCAGTGCTCCTCTGGGATGACATGTCATTGATCTCGGTAAGCTGCACCAGCTTTCAAAGCTCCTGAAAATGTGCTCTTTGTTCCACATCACCCACCTTTCCCCCAGACCTCTTGCATGTAATTATAGGTAGCCTTTTTTGTTGGAAACTATGAATGTGTAAGGTTGATTAGTCAAAGTATTATGCCAAAGGCAGGCAGTGCAGCATTGCCTTTCTCTTTAGAACCTGGAGCTCCTCAGCCCTTTAATTTCAAAACAGGTGTTTAGAAGAGTAATTGCAAGATAGTCTTCAGGCAGAAGCCAGGTAACCTTGCAGTGATGTGCAGTTACATTATATTGATATGTAGATTTGAATACATTTGTGTGAGTAATATGGGTGCTTATAAAGGACACAAGTTTTTGTCACAAATAGAACATTTTGCAGTATGAAGACAATCACATTTCCAGAAAAAAAGAGAGACGGGGTTTTTTTTGTGATGCTACTTACAATTCCCTGAAAGAGAATATTAAAGTTCCTTGAATTGCATTTTTGGGAGGGAACGGTTATGTTTACTAGAAAACAGAATTGTTTTGGCCATTTTTCTTTCCTTTGAATGCTGCCTCTGGTAGCTGTATCTATCCTTGGGATATATTAGCAGTAGTCCTGGATGGGATGGACTAGCACCAAAGGTAGCCTTACACTCCTTTTTTCCCTCTCTCTTCTTTCGTCCTCACATTTCAACATATCACCATGTCTGGGGGCATCAAATGCATCCAGCAAGGTTTCTGTAGAAGGGCAGCCTGGCTGGCAACATGGGGAGGTCTTTGGTGTCTGCTTCTCCCCAGGTTGTGTATTCAAGCTTAACCTCTGCAGGGTCCAGCTGACTTCCCACGATGCTCCTAGATGAAGTTTTTCCCCTGGGCACACAGGAGTTTATTCAGGCACTTGCACATAAATATAAATAAGACAAAATATCCTACAAATGTCCATGCAGCAGTAAGCAAAAATGTTGTGGGAAACTGGAGCTATTTTCCTAGTCCTACCCTGGCTAACTGGAGCCCAGGTCAGCTGGGATTGCAACTGTGCTGGCTCATCCCATCCTTTCCAGGAGCCCCTCCATCTCCTTGATGCATGGGTCTGCTTTCCAGATCAACCTTCTTTTTCCCCTCCCATTGCTTAGCAGAGGCCTTTCTTGCTGTGCAGAGCCTCCAGTGAGGCAGCAAGCAGGAGGCACCAGCGTTGCCCATTGCTGACACTGCCCCACGTTAGCTGATGGAGCCACTGCCCGGAGAAAGCCAGTCCTGGAGACTGTGCTGAGTTGGGCTCGCAGGTCAATGGCTGCCCCTAAAAATACTGGTAAGTTTGCAGCAGAGGAAGATCAGATACAGGTGACATGGGAGGCAAAGAGCCTTGTCCTGCTTTTTTTAGCGAGCCTCACTGGCCCTGGGCAGGCAAAGAAGCCTGGACAGGATCAGCTCTGTGGCTGTATACAGAGTATGAAAAGAGGCAGAGCATGACAGAGGAGCAGCACAGCTGCTTTCTATTTTTGCTGCTTTTTACAGCATGCTTTCTTGTTCCCTAAACAAAAGTAGTCAGTTCAGGACCAGAGACTGTGTCTCTCTGAAAATGCAGGTCTTTATGCTGCTCATGAGGTACGCAAAGGAGCAGCATTCCCCCAAGCCTCTGTACACCAGCCTTGTCTTCCCTTCTGTCTCCCTGGTCCAGTTTTTGATTGCAAAAAGTTCGAAAATAAACGAACTTGAAAGCATTCGAAAGTACAGGTGTATTTATAGCTATAACAATATTTATAAACCACTAAGAAATACTTCTTCTTTTTCCAGTACAGATTTCAGGGTGCTTTTATAAATATGGATGGCTTTTAGACTTATGGAAATAATGCTCATGTCTCAGTTTTCATCAGCAAAACAAAGCTACCATTTAAAAAAAAACAATTTGAGGATTGTAGTTGAGTGTAAACTGAAATAGGTTTGTTGTAAACAGCTATAAAACCAGCAAATGTTGATACCTTCCAAAATTACAGAGCTATTCTAGATGAAAAATTATTCTCTTGAATCTTTTATGCTGCTCAGGATTATTAAGGTCATAGCTAAAAAACACATCCAGTTTGGATGTTGTTCCAGTATTCAAAGAGTGGCTACAAAGAAGATGGAGGCTCCCTTTTTACAAGGACTCAGATGGATAAGATGAGGGATAATGGGTACAAGTTACTCCTGGAGAGATTCCAATTGGACACAAGAGGAAAATTGTTCACAATGAGAACAATCAAGCCAGTGGAACAACCTCCCCAGGGAAGTGGTGGATTCCCCAACATTGAACATTTTTAAAATTCAGCTGGACAGGGTGCTGGACCATCTTATCTAGACCATGCTTTTGCCAAGAAAGGTTGAATCAGATGATCCCTGAAGTCCCTTCCAACCTGGTGTTCTATGATTCTATGACCTTGAGGTTGCCATACAGCTATCATATTTATTTACACTGGCTATTGTGACAGCAACTTAGCTTGTT